TCTCAAGCACTGCCATTCCTTGATGAACAAGCATTCAAATATAGGAGCCTATAGCAGCCATTCTTATTGAAGCCACCACAGGAACTTACTTGGTCTGACCTTGTATGCCATTTATATGGGGTCTGTATGGGGGTCTCTGTTGGTGTCGCCCATGGACATGCCATAGGGTCTTAAGAGCAGAGAACAAAAGGACTGAGCCACAATATGAAGAGAATGAGTGTTGTCTTAGTAGGTTAAAGCCAGACTGTGACATCATGTGGAGGCCCATAGCTTCTCTGTGGTGGGAAACCATCAGTGCCCATGGTAAGAGTTGATCCTGATGAGACAATGTCATTGGAATTCAGTGGCTTGAGACACTTGTCACTAAGTGCTTGTGTAAGGAAGGGCTGAAGAGCAGACTTAGGTTGTGAGTAGACCCAGGAGAAGTAGGAACCATGACAGCTGCCTCCCTGGATGCTTTACCATAGCAGCCCTGCCCCAGATGTTCCTCCACAGCAGAACTGACCCCAATGGTCTTTCTTAGGTCACACGTCTGTTCTTTTAGTCTTGTAGTCTTGTAGTCCTATCTTCACATGATTGGCGTAGACATCCCACTCTGTTGCAGGTATCATTCTGGGATAAGCTCTCTGACAGCAAGGAGAGCAGAAGGGAGGAGATGTCACAGTGGACTGACCAGGAAAGTCCTGAAAGGCATTGACTTCAGGTCCAGTTTGCATTCTCATTTTATACTCCAAGACCACAGGATGAAGCGGGCCAGCAGGAAGATTCTACAGATGCATATGTGGCAGTCAGCAAGTTGCTAAGGGCAACGACCCAAAGGTTCAGCTGTTTCTCCAGGTCTCTCTGTTCAGGTAGTAAATGAAGTAACACATGGCAAACAGGCATACCAGCAGGGCTGTAAGTCAATCAATAAATCAATCAATAAATCAGTTCCTAACCATTGGTCTATTCTACCATATTACACTTCATTCCCTCCTCTTCACTTTCATAACACATTATGAATTTATCCTGAAGAAACTGCTTGGTTCTCCTGGACTGTGACCTGTATTGTACTTCATTGGCTCCTGTTTGTACCTGGAGCCTTCATTCTTGCCAATAATATTTTGACATTTTCTCATTCTATTCCTGCCTGATTAGCATCTGTCTCATTCTGAAGAGAAACTATATTTTCCTGAATAATTAAATGTTCCTTGATCTGAGTAAGATCCAGCTATGTTGAACTTGGAAGCGTATTGCTGCAGCAACAGTGACCGTGGACCTGTCAGGGTCATTGAATCAGCACTGGTAAAGCACAGGGCGTCCCTTATTTCGGGAACGTAGGAGATGTAAGCATTGCTGGACCTCGCTTCCTAGGAGCACATCTAAGTCAGGGGCCGAGAACACCAGTCTGCACCTGGACACAGGTATAAATACCCTTGGGGCAGGCACATGTGTGCATTAGGAGATGCTGCTCTTTGAACTGGTCTGGTGCAGATCTTTTCATTTCCCACACACTGGGCTTTTCCTATGACCTGAGCAGGTGGCCCGGTTAAACCTGTCCCTTTTGTGTTGTTAGTCAGGCTTCAGCTAGTCCTTCCCACTCCAGCATAAGGAACCTGGCTTGCACATAGCATACCCAGCAGTCCTGACCTGGGTAAGGAGCTCATGGCTGGCATTTACTAAACCGAGCATCTACAGACATGTCTTTCCCAGAGGAAGGACTTTTCTATGGTCAGTTTCCATATTATTCCTCCCTGGTTCCCCCAACCAAAGGTCAGTTAAGGCCTTAACACCTTGTCGCTCTGAGGGAGCTGCCTCCCAGGTCCCTTTCATGATGGAGTCCATGGAAGACCAGTATTTAAGGTAAGACCAATGGTTGCTCCACAATCGATCTTGTGTCCTCTCAACAGTTGTCCATAGGATGCCACTCCTTGGAACTATCTGCACAAGGAATCCCAGTCTGCTGTACTGTGTGGTCAGTTCCACCACAGCATAATGGGGTTGGAGGGACGATCCACGCTGGCCTGGTCCGCGGTAGAAGCAACATCTGAAGGAGATGAGGCAGAGCTCCAGGGTCAGTTAGTTATGCTGACGGTGTCTAGGAACTGGAGTTGCTCTGGGACAAGGTTGCTCTCCAGACTGACTTCTGTGACAGGATGAAGAGGCTGAGGGAAGACTGCATGGACGCCTGTCCTTGGGATGGGGAAGGACATCAGGGGGCAGAGCAGGACTGAGCCATCGTCTCCATCTGGAGGTCATTTTGAGCTGGGCAATTTCAGACTGGTCTGTGTTGGCTTTCACAGTTCTTTCCCCTAAGACAGATATATCACCACAGAACAGGGCCCTTAGAAGGTCCAAGGAGCATCCAAGTCCATTTGACACAGAGAAAGGAAAGCTATGGAGAGCCAGATGAGCTTCTGACTTGTACACAGTTGGCTCCTCCTGTCCTCGGTGAGGCCTTTTTAGTTAAAGCACAAACCAGTGACCAAACCCAGTCATGGCCAGGCACAGTGGTGAGTGCCTTTAATTCCAGCACTGGTGAGGGAGAAGCAGGTGGACATCTGCTGTGGATCTCGCTCTATATAAATAAAATGCTGATTGGCCAGTAGCCAGGCAGGAAGTATAGGCAGGACAAAGAGAGAGGAGAATTCTGGGAAGTGGAAGTCTGAGTGAGGAGACGCTGCCAGCTGCTGCCATGAGAAGCAACATGTAAGATAATGGTAAGCCACGAGCCACATGCCACATGGCAAGGTATAGACTTATAGAAATGGGTTAATTTAAGATGTAGGATCTAGCTAGCAAGAAGCTTCAACCATTAGGCCAAACAGTTTAAATAATATAAGCATCTGTGTGTTTGCTTGGCTGCAGGACTGGCGGGTGAGAGAGATTTGTCCTGACCATGGACCAGGAAAACTTCAGCTGCAGATACATCTGTGAGTCAAGTCCAGTCTGGTCTACAAAGTGAGTTTCAGGGCAGCCAGAGCTCGTAAGTGGGACCCTGTCTCAAACAAAACAAAATAACAGTCCTGCTCCAGGGCAGATGGAACACTTAAGTAAACCATGGAAGGAAGGGCACATCTCAAACCACTAGAAACCCGAGGGTCTCAGCAGGGTCAACACCTCCCCCCAGAGCTCTCCCCCAGCCCCACACTACAAACTCAGAGGGACCCGGTCCAGTGCCATCCTCAGAGAGACTGTTTGCAGTAGGTCAGGTCACATCATGGGCCTGGGCTAAGAGAAGAAAGAGCCCAGCCCCAGGGACAGCCCATGCCAAGCTCTGCCCGTCTGGAGTCTGTCCTCCTGATGGACTTCCCAGGTGAGCCAGCTCCGGGGACCTGGCTCCTGTCACCCCAAAGAAGGGCTTGTCCCATTGGAGCAGTAGCACACAGGCTTTGTTCTTTGGCACAGATTGGACCCAAAAGAGAAGAGCCTCAGTGGGGACACAGGTTTTAGGGTGCAGATGGGGCTCCCCGGAATCTACGGTTGGCATCACTCACTCACCAAGCCTTCTAGGTACCTCTAGCTTCCCTCCTGCTCTGTCCTCAAATTCCTTTTCTTCCCTCCACTGTCCTTCCGGGATGACTGGTGTCGCTGTGGATGCAGTAAAGACACAAACACTCCGAGCCCCACAGAGGGGACCAGGGAGGGACCGAAAACACAGGAGCTTCTCAGAGTTTACATGTCACAGTTTACAGAGTTTACAGGGTGAGGGTCACAGACTCCAGCACTCTGTACAAATCAAAGTGAAAGTCCCCTGCTGTGGGATGGTCTGTATGTCAAATTGCTCTGATTGGTCAATAAATAAAACACTGATTGGCCAGTGGCCAGGCAGGAAGTATAGGTGGGACTAACAGGGAGGAGAAAAGAAAGAACAGGAAGGTGGAAGGAGACACTGCCAGCTATGGCCATGACAAAAAGCATGTGAAGATGCTGATAAGCCACAAGCCATGTGGCAAGGTATAGATTTATGAAAATGGATTAATTTAAGCTATAAGAACAGATAGCAAGAAGCCTGCCACAGCCATACAGTTTGTAAGCAATATAAGTCTCTGTGTTTACTTGGTTGGGTCTGAGCGGCTGTGGGACTGGGGGGTGACAGAGATTTGTCCTGACTGTGGGCCAGGCAGGAAAACTCTAGCTACAGTCCCTGGTATGTCAGCCTGGATTCCGTGCTGTGGGCATGGACTGCAAGCTGCCTTCCAGCTTGGTTCTCTCCTTTTAGGCAGCAGGGAGTTTCTATTTCCACAGTTTTAGTGACTTGGTTAACTGAGATCAGAAAGAAACAAGGCAGACATTGTAGAGATAAATGACACACGTTTTGCATGTTTTCTTTCTGACTGTGGGATTAGCTTCTGTCCCCAGTCTGTCTCCCCTGGTGTGAGAACGTCCTCTGCCCAGTGTCCTCACTGTCCACTGTGCAGGGTGAGGTTCTCGGGGGCCGACTCAGTTATCAGATCCACAGAGTCCCTCTTCCACCTGCCTTGGCCACTCCTCCCCCTCATCTCGTCAGCTCATCTGTCACCACAGGGTGAGTGCAGGACAGAGGGAGGGGCAAATTAAATCTCTTCAGTTCACGACCCTCTGTCATTATTTTGATTGTGATTGCTACTCATCCCTTACTGCAGTGGCTTTATTAACTTTCTCACAGGAGTGTGTCCACATAACACATGGGGTGTAGACAGGGGTCACTGCTCAGCTGGGTTCAGACACAGGCTCTCACTGGAGTCTTTTTCCCAGCAGAGAAGGGGGCACCTGTATTGAAACAATGTGTGACTTCACACATGTGTGTTCATATTTGGACTCTAGATTTAAACACGTGAGACAGGAAGAGCAAGGGGACCACTGGGGGAGGGGCAGCAGGAGAGGCAGGACAGGGAGACTAGTGAGGGTCAAATGACCGAGGTGCCATGATACACTCGTGTGTGCAAACACCACAAACTAGCTGAGCACCGAGGTGCATGCCTCTGATCCCAGAACTGCAGAGGTGGAGGGGGCATGATCAGGAGTTCAAAGCCAGCCTTGCTGACATAGTGAGTTCGAAGGCAGCCTGAGTTCAATGAGACCCTGTCTCAAAACAAACATCTGCCAGGGAAGAAGACAGAGGACAACTGAACCTGGAGTCGGAGGAGCTGACATCCTTTGCCATCCCCGCTGTGTGATGGAGGAGATGCTGGAACACATGGAGCCGCTGTGGACAGAGCCTGAGCACAGTGCTGCTAACGCAGCTGCACAGACCTCGGCCCTGGCCTTAAGATGCCACAAACCTGTGGACGGTCACGGCCTCGCTGCTGGTCACCCTTTTGCTGCTGGTGTGTGCTGGGTATTTTGTGCAGCTTCTACTTTTACCTAAATTCTGGTTTCAACAGGAACTGTTGGGAGACACAGCATCCCAGGAAGGAGGCCGCGAGCCTTTGAGTCTGAACCTGGAGATCGCCCTGCAGTCTCCACACAGGACAGGATCCCACTGCCAGCCAAGACTCCTGCTGAGGAAGACCACTGAGCCCAAACACAGTACTTCATCAGGAAACAGGGCTAGGTCATTAAGCGCCTCTGACTTGACTTTGAAATTTCCCAGGACCCTGATGAATGTTTGATTCCAATTATGCTCTCAGCTTCCACAGCGCAGACCACCGAGGGGGCGGAGCCACCGCTGAGTGGTCCTGAGCCTCTCTGCAGACACCTGAGCAGAAAAACGGAGGTAGGAAAATAAGTTCTTACAAGCTGTCAAAAAGAAAAAAGAATAATAACCTCATCAAAAATTACTCACCTGTAAGCCATAGAGACCTGAATGGAATTAAACCTAAACTGAGCCATTACACGTTCATCTGAAATATTTCTGTCTCCAGGTCTCAGCTTCACACATCGACTCCTGGGCTCTTGGTCTCCCCCGCCCTCCCGCCCTCACCTGCCCTCTTCTGTACGTCTATAAATTTTTCTTGTATGAAAATAGTTTGGTTAGTCATAAAATACAGCTTTCCTTGGCATTTTAACTTGCCAGAAATTGGAATCCACCTTCTTAAGTCAGCCAGGTGACAGTCCTGTCACTGTCCCATCATTTACATGTGACTTTGCAGCTTGTCACTGTCTCATTCCCTCACTGATGTGTCAGTTGTTGGTGTCCAGTACATGGGGGTTAAATGGCATTTAAAAATATCTTCAAGGGTCTGGAAAGACAGATGTTTGCTGTGATCCCAGCACCAGGTCTGTGTGTGAAGGTGTGGCTCACATCTGCCCTGAACTTCAACTCTAGGCACTGACGCCCTCTGGTGGTCTCCTTGGACACTGCACCCCCATGAGGCTGCCTGTCCAGGACAAGGGATGCAGCTGAAGGCAGGAGAAACCTCCAAACCCTTGGACTGGTGAAACAAATCCAAGCTGAGAGGCTGGTGTCACAGGTCACGTGTGGAGAAGGACGATCTGATACACTAACCTGCTTTCTGCACAGCTTCCTGCTGCTGTGGGACAGAGGTGCTGGTGAGCCGCCTTCAGGACAGGCTGAGTCCCCACACTGGGGACACTGAGGGCCTGTGTGGGAAATGCAGAAGCTGACTGACACATGAGCTCACACTTACAGCTTACCAAGTGTAATTCCACATGTTCTTCACATGTGCACAAGGCTTATGGAAAGAAAGGAAACCCAGGATGAGTGGGTGGGGGGCTGAGGGAAGGGGAACTGCGAGGGGAAGAGGGAGGGGAACTGCAGCTGGGATGTAAAATATGAGGGAAAATAGATTGAAAAATAACTTAAATCTTAAAAACCTGTTTGAACAAATGTAAAACCCTCTCTCTGAGTGGAAGAAAAAAAAGAAAGAAAAGGAGCTGAATAATGCATGGATGAAGGTTTCTGGCTCCACCAGGGATCCAGACATCCAGGGCACTGGGCACCTTAGGATCTCATATGCTGCTTCCAGGGCCCCTGTGTCCTCTCCTGCCACACACAAGGCTGGACAACTGTCCAGGGGGCCACAGGAGCCCTGACCTGCTGCCATCACCGCCTTCCCAGGATGAGGCTGAGGTCACTGAGCAAGGAGATCACCTCCCTCTGTGTGCCACAGGATTGGGAGTCAGATGGACAGAGACTTGGGGTCCCCTCCACACCTGCCCTCCCACTTCAGTCTGACTGATGGTGGCAGATGCTGCTGCTTAATTCTCTCACATCCTGTGGTGCTCTGAATAAGAATGGCCCCACAGGCTCACATGCTTGAGTACTTAGTCAAGAGGGAGTGGGGATCTTTGAAAGGATTAGATGATTAGAGGGATTATGGGTGTGGCCTCTTGCAGGAAGCATGTCACTGGGGGTGGGCTTTCAGGTTTCAAAATACCATACCAGAAAGCCCTGCATGGGAGAAAGCCAGCC